CTCATTGGATGGTTTTTGTTTATGGCTGCATTCTGAGTAAAAACTCTGGTTCTGACTGTTTGGGCATGAAATTCCCAGAAATACTCAAATCAGCCACAGTCCCTAAGATGACATTTTCCCCCTTTCTGATGTTTGATGTGAACATTAACTGAAGTTCCTGATCTGTATAGGATTGTATGCGCTGCACTGCTGCCACATGACTGGCTGATTGGATAATTGCATGAATAAGTAGCAGCACAGGTGATCGTGATTAAGTGCTTGGTGAGTAGGAGGAGTGGATAAAGGATTCAAAGGTGGCTCTCGTTAATGCCTCCTGTTTACTGCTTTGCATTTTACACTCTCTGCTATGCAGGAGTTCCTGCATAAATAGCTGTCAGACAAGCTGCTGTTCCATAATTGAAGCTGCTCCCCAGCTTTGTAAGGGCATATATATATATATATATATATATGTGTGTATATTTACCTCTCCCTCACTGGCTGTCTTCTGTGCTGTGCAACACACCACACATGCAGATTGGTGTATTTTCTGAGCCACTAATCTTTAAACTAAGATTTCATTGCAGACTTAGCTTTATTTATTTATTATTTTTACATAGTTATAATTTACACAATGTTATTAAAGTGTCTGGCTTTGCTTTATTTTTTTTACTTTAAGGCACATGTCACGGTCACAAACTGTTTAAAGGCCCAACAGGATATGTAAGAAAATGCTTAGAAAAAGCATCAAATCCTATGAACACTGAAGAGCCATACGCCTGCAGGTGCCACTTGCATACACTTGATGGCACTATCGATGTGTGGTTATAAAGCTGCTGCTTGGTTTTTCTTCTTTCTATCTTGGACACAATAAACCATGTCACTGCTTTGTATTTTACCTGCTCACAGCTGCCAGTGTCATGACACCTGAGCTTCTGTTTCTGAGGAGTTTCTGCATAAATAGCCATCAGACAAGCTGCTGTTACATAACTTACATAACTTCATGACTTTGTAAGGGCACATATTGAGTTTATTTACACTGCATTGTGTGCTGTCATTTTGAGGGCTGCTTTTAACCTTGTGTGTTTCTTTGCCCTACCTGTGTTAATGTAGACAAAGACACTCCTATCTACACCTGACACCTGGGTTATATACGCCCCGCTGGACAAGACATGTTTAGAGATTGGTGTGGCATTACTGGCACTACAGACCCATGTCCCATCACAAACCTGTGATTCTCATTCACACTTTTATTAAGCCATGACTTCTCCCTAACTGTAAATCAAGTGTTTAGTTGCCTAGCCCTACCCATACCTTCACCATATTTTATTTGCCAAAATCACAACCACACCATAGTTTCCATGCACAGATCTGGGAAAATTGTTAATGTTGACAATATTGAAAACAATGCAAAAATTGCAGAATTGTTCTATAGGCCTACCAGGGGTCCCCAACAGATGGCGTAAGAGTGAGAGAGAATATTGTTTGTACAAACATGGACGCATAGTTCAAACTTTAAGCAACACAACCTCACTGCGTATGAAACTAAATCAAATACACAGATTGTTGATGTTTGATGACTTGTTAAATGATTTGGTTTGGAGTGTTTTGATACGATGTGTGAGTAAATGTAACCAGTGATATACGACATGAGGAGCTCTCAGCCCCTTTTGTTTGGTCAAAGTAGCTCTCGGAGTAAGAAAGGTTGGAGACCCCTGTTCTGTACTAACTGAATTGCCAAGACTGCCCAAATTGTGGTTCAGACAGGGCACAGTGGAACACAGAGGTATGAGGCCAAAACGCTCGTGGAAATGCATAGTGTATATAAATAATGGACATCGACTCCGGGTCTGGAAAATGAAGCCAAAATGACCCTACTTCACTTGATTTATTACCTCAGTAAACGTTTTCGCTACGTGTTTATGGTCTGAATCGCTAGTTTGAAGTTTTCTTGAATACAATATGATGATTTTTCAAATTATGGTCTCTTATAGGAGAAAACAGACTGTTAAAACAGACTGGTTTTAGTTTGTGGCTACCACGTGATTGACACACAGGGGGACCTGCCTGCCAAAAATGGCATTTTGTTGTTGTTTACTGGAGCAGTAGGAAGTTAAACCCAAAATATTGCTGTGATTATTATTGAATAAAGATAAATCCAGAATGCCAAAAAATAATCATATAAATAATAAAGATATCAAAATATAATACAGAACACTACTTCCTTTCTACCTTATGCACAACCCTCAACCACAGAGGTTGAATGAATACATGACTGAATTTATCAAATGAATCTTTGGAAAAACTTGCTGACTCAGCTAAAGGTTAATTAAAATGCACGTGAAAAAGAGTCAAGAATATCAACAAAAGTTAAAACATTTTAAAAAATCTGACCTTAAATATCTACACAGCATTTTGGAAGTCTTAAAAACAGCCTGTGATGCTACTAGCAAGAGGAAATATTTTTTCTGTGATTGTTATCGTATTTCAACTCTCACCAGGCAGATGTGACACTTTAATCATTAAAAGTTCTGAATCCAACACAATTAAATAGAAAACAAAGAGCAGTATGTGCTGTCAGAGAAGCTGCTCTGGGTCACAGCGCTTAGTGTAGATGAGTTTCAGATACACCAGTCTTTTTGCACCTTTACTATTTAAAGGTTTAATTCCCCAAAAAACACTTTATTACCTCTATATCTAACCATGATGAGCTGTTGAAATAGTCACTGGTTTTAACAGGTGCACGAATTACAATACATAACATAGTTCACCCAAATGTTGAGGAGGAGAAAATTTACTGTATTTGAGATGAAAATGCAAGAAAAAATTGAGAAAAGGAAAAATGAAATAGACATAAATACATGTTTATTTATATAAATCAGGCAGTGGTGGCCTAAAGGTTAGAGGGACAATCTTGTGATTTCGAAGGTCGGGGGTTTGATCCTTGGACTGGCAGGGTTAAATCTGCATGGGAAAAGTGAAAGAACGGCAATCACCCAACCCTTATCAAAACCGCTGTTGTGCCCTTGAGCAAGGGCCTTAACCCAAACTGCTCCATTCAGACAGGTCTGCTGCTGTGATCAGGCCGTTCCTGTAAAAGAAAAAAAGATAAATATCGGGTTTGAAAGTAGTTTTATTTATGTAACTCTTTGGTTGAAGTTGGCATCCTCGAAGAGGTGGTTCCATCTTTCCAGTGAGTTGATTGGTCAGTTGTGCGCTTAACCATAACCAAGTGTTTTATTGCTCTAGCCCTACTCATACCTCCAGCATATTTTATTTGCCAAAACCACAACCACATACCATAGTTGCTATGCACAGATCTTGCAGAAATGTTCATTTTAAAAACATTGTCACTGAACCTAATGCGTAATCGTTTGCAGAATTTTTATATCATAGATTTGCACAGAAAACTGGGAAGGCTATGTTACTTTTGAGATTGCATCAGAACAATGAAATGAGCAAAGAGTCCTTCAATGTGTAAAATGCCTCTTTGTTACCATCTAGTGGTGGCAGGGTAGACTTGTCTGTACAGTAGACAATCCTGTGTTTTGCAGTACTGGCTGCAGTGTCATGTCACCAGAGCTTGTGTTTCTGAGGAGTTTCTGCATAAATAGCCGTCCGACAAGCTGCTGTTGCATAATTGAAGACGCTTCACGACTTTGTAAGGGCCCATATTGAGTTTCTACAGACTGCATTGTGTGTGGCCCTATTCAAGGCTGCTTTTCACCTTAAATGCTCCTTCTCCCTACGTGTGCTAATAAAGACAGAGGATGTAAGGCCACCTCTGTCTGACACCCTGGCACAAGTCTGAGTCAAGCTGTGCATTTCTGTTATCACTTTTTAGATGTTTTTGGAGTGAAATTTGAAACTCACACTATCGAGAATACATTTCTGGTTTTAAGAACCAAAAGCCATTTCAATGTAGTTTTACATCTCCTCTCACAGGCTTCTCTCTGGAGGTGTAGTAACAACAGGTCTGAGAGCCAATCCGAGGTGAGGAGGCTCTGAGCCTCTCTTCTGATTGGCTGACTGTTTTCTGAGTGATTGAATAAAAATATAGCAGATTTCAGGTAAAACACTCAGAGAAACCAAATCCTGCAAGGTTGGATGGCGGGGCAAGGCGGGTGGGGCTTGGGGCATGGCAGAGAGCAGTGACTGCTTTGTTTTGACATCACAAAGTTACAGAAGCTTTAAGTTTTAAGGCTCAGTTTCTGAACAGGCTGTGTGCATTTCTCTGTGGACTGAGGCTTTGATACTTTCACATGTTAATATAGAACCTAGACCTGCTTCATAATCAAGAAATCTACCTTTATAAAATATGGAAGCTTTAATACTGATAATTCAGCTCTGCTCTGATTTATGTTTATATTATAATCTCAATGTTCAATCTGTGAAATCGTTTTGGTATCATGTAGCTGCTGTAGAGGAAACTTTTTAAATTAGATTAAATTCCTACTAAAAATTCATGTGCTTTGATAAATCTATATGCATTCATCATTTCAACTCCCGCTCAATATTTTTAATTTTCTGACTGCCAAGTGTCTCATTTCAGAAGAACTGCATTATTTAAATCACTCAGGGGGAAAAGGTCAGCCCAGGAGTCATTGAGCAGCTGATGTACCGGTAATGCATGCCTTTCTATACAAAGAATAACAGTTGCATAAAAGCCTGCAGTGCGTTGCGTCAATGAACCTTTGGTTTATCTGCTATTCAGAGTGACTGTACAGCATTCTTCCTTTTGAAATGCACAGTCATAATGTGTTTGATGAATGAATGAATGAAAGACAGCGTCTTAGAGCCTCCATGACTGACGTAATTGAATGAGCTGGGACCGGCGCACAACCAGCATTAGGATGACATCAGGACCAGCAAGCTGATGTGAACTACCTCCCATCAGACACTGGGTGGCGCTCAAGGTTGCCAGTACTGTTATGGAGTTTGTTCCACATGTTTACAGCTCCTTTAATACTCAAATTCTGCAATAAAAAGACATTTAGCTTGTTTCCTGAAATAATAGACGTGAAAACAGGACAACATCTTTATTGAGCTGGACAGCTTTTCAAGGACAAAAACACACCTACTTTAACATTTCAAGGTGCTGTGTTCAAGGAGTGATTCAAACCGTTACATCCATAACATGGACCCACATCGTTAGTATATAAATTGTGTGAAGAAGGGATTATCGATTTAACTTGAAACTACAGAAGTTCAGTCTTTCTTCGAGCAGCCTGTGAAGAACTCATTGCAGGCGACGGTCAGTGCAGTGACCAGGACGACGAACTCCTGGAAGTCCACTTCACCGTCCTGGTTTTCATCCAGGTCATTCATGATCTTCTCGACCAACATGGGGTCGTTGCTGGCCTAAAACAGAAGCATCGTAGTGACAATCAAACAAAAGATGTTTTTATTCATTCATTCATTCATTCATTCATTCTTCTCTCATACACTTTGGGGCCTGGGGTGGGGGAGTGATGACATGTGGAGTGTGTATTGTTTGTTGTATCTACCGTTTAAATAATTAAATGGAATATAAAAAGTTTGATAAAGTTAATTTCTGATGAAGTAGAAAAATGTTGCATTTATAATCACGGAAGCTAATTAACAGTGTGGATTATTTTTCTAATAAAAAAGATAACATGGCGTTTAGTGGGTTTTCCAATCATCACAAAGTGGCCTCATGTTGTTTCCAAACAAGATACTGCAGCTGTTTTCCACAGTTGAGCAAGACAGAAAATGTCTAAGGTGAATGTGCTTCTATTTGTAGTCGTCACTGATGAGAATGTGCATGTATCACATACAATAGTAAATTACTTATTAAAAATAATTCAATAGTGTTTTTGTAATATCTGTCCCTACAAGTCACGGTGGAGGACGCTGTGATTGTAGTTATTATGATGTCAAGTCAGGTAAATTGAGGACCTAAATTTCTGCATGACACCTGTTCATGCACTCAAATACATTTTTCCCCCCCAACTATGAGCTTGTAATTTACGACTCTCAACATGTCATGAATGCAGCATCAGAGCCAGGTGTTGCAGCTGTTCTTAGCCAACTGTAAAACCTCCACAACAGGGGATGCCTGGGTTTAACCCTCATCTAAGAGCTGGCAAAGATGTGTGACAAACATTTGTTTTATAGGAACTCTTCAGTTTTGTAGTGTCTAACTTAATAATTAGTTGTTTTGTACTAGTAAAAAAGGATTACTCCGTTAACAAAATGTTCTGTGATTGATGACAACCTAAATTCCTCCTGGAGACAACAGCAGTACCCCTCTGGTATTTAATTTGTTTTGTATTTAGCATTGAACGTAGCATTGTAAGTATTATGACTGCAAACTTTTTATTAGATGTGGGACGTGAGGATCGTTACTGTACAAAAATTCTAATTTACTTTGGAAAACAGTCGACAGATACTCACTGACAGGAAGCCTGGGAGCTTTTCGTTTAACAGGGTCTTCAGCTCTCTCTTATTCAGCTTGTGCTTGTCACCTTCTTTTCCCGAATAGGAGTGGAACACGTCAATGAGGCCAGCCATGGCGTCTTGCAGGTTGTAATTCATGTTTCAGTCCTAAAATTGAAGGACAAATTAAGAGTCAATATTAAAAACTCACAGTAACAGATTTCCACTGATCAGGGACAAAAGAAAGAAGAAATACTTGAGTGCAGGAAGATTTTTTTTCTCTTCAAGCAGGAAGCTGGAGGAAATGAACAAACAAACAAACAAACAAAAAAGCAGTTATCAGGTTACCAAAGATGTCACTTGGCTGTGGAGTTGAAGGGCAGAGGGTGAGATGGTTCACAGTAGATACAGACTTTCCCTGAGAGCAAAACCAAAATTCGAAACATATTAATCAAAAGTACAAAACAAGACATTGTGCCATCAGCTTAAAAAACGTTTCTGATGCTCCTCTGCTGATACTCCGCTTCATTATGTTTCAGCATTTAGGTTCATCGTCTGTCAAATGACTGACTTGTCAGTGGAGCTCGTCTATTTTCACAGTTTAGGGAAAACTGCCTTAAAAGAAAATCTCTCAAGCTTGGCTCAGTCTTGATTCTTCTGAAAGCCTTTTTAAAACCTGCCTCAACAAATTAAGGTTGGATCGCTTGATTTCTCTTAGTGTGTCGTAGTCATGTCAAATACCCGTATAGCCGATCAAAGAGCTGTCAGTTATAAAATGGTAGAGTTTGAGAAATATGCTTATTTGTCTTCTTGCTGAGTGTTAGAGAAGATGACCAGGATACCACTCTCATACTGGTACAGTAGCCTAAGTATGAAGGTACAGCTAGCAGCCTGTTAGCTTAGCTTAGCATAAAGACTGGAAACTGAAGGGTGGAGTTAGGATTGGAGTTAGTTTGTTGCTTTGTTGATCGTGATCAAGATACAAGCAGGTCATTTAACAATTGAAAAAGAAACTTGTCAGTGCCCCCTGGTGGACAAACCGAGTTTTTAATACAACTTGCCCATCTAAATTTTATTAAGTGACGTAACAGAGGCTACGTCCATCTTTATATGCAGACTACGGGGTAACATTATCCCCTAGTTTAGATTGCATTTTGCTTTTGTAAAAAAAAAAAAACAGGCTCATAATAGTTGGCCTGAGCTAAAGAAGGAATCATAGGAAGTATTGAACTTCAGAGAAATCCTTTCATTATCTATCATTTCCTCTTAACCTGCGCTTTATCTCACAGGGAGAGGAGGAGCGTCTCCAGCTTTTCATTGTTGCCTGTTACACAAAATATACACATTTTCATTGTGTATTGGCGTCACAATTATTTCCACATATTGTGAACCATGACAACAACAATAACCTCAATTAGTGACTTTCAAGTGACACTGCTGCCAGTAAAAATGGATCATGTGCGCTCAGTGCTTTGACTGATTTGTAAACATGATTTTTGAGCATGTGCTTGTCAAAAAAGTTAATTTAAAAAAAAAAAAAAAAAAGACACCAGGCAGAGATTATTTCAGTCTACTTAATAATGTGGGAAGACATGAATCATCTGCTGATTGTGATGAGTAATCGCACCAACATAATAGAGTCTCCAGAGAACGTATGCACACATTTTACTCCTTTGTCAACAAACAGATACGCGTCACATATGGATTAACACGTTTATTAAAGTAATATTCGGTGAAACCTGCTGATGCCTGTGTCAAACTCAGCCTGAGTCCAAATAAAATACAGCCGGAGTTAAAACTATTTAAATCCCTAACCTTACACCTGCCCTTCACTCTATCAGACACCTGAGAAGCTGCTGCTGCAGGGGGCGGGGAGGGTGATGGGGCTGAGTCATTTCCCCTCCAACCTCCGTGAACCAGCGGAGGACAAAGGACAGACCCCCTGCAGGGCGGCTTGCACATAAAGTAGAATTGTAGATTGTGGCTTGCATTATGTAACGTAAACAACCTGATGCCTTCACCCTGAGGATTAACCCTTGACAGGTTCACGTGTCCTCGTTAACACTGTCTGATGGTTCCTATCTGCGCGCGTGCGCGCATGTGTGTGTGTGAATAACTCCTCAAGCCTGAGATATATAAGATATAACCCACTACATCACTTCGCTGAACAATGCGCCGCCACATTCCCTTAATTAGCCTCCATAAATGCTGTTAATGATTTATTTCAGGAAGCTAATTAAAAGCCTTTTGAATGTCAAATGCAAAGCTGCTGTTAATTAACTGAGACTAAACCACGAGCAGACTGCAGACGCCACTCAACGTGAAAATGACAAAATACATGAAAAACACGGAATCACATTCTGTCTGTTTATGTCTCACTGAAACAACTATTCGCCTCTTAACAAAGACACAGCGGAGACTCACCTGAACAGTGGCGCTCACAGGTGCTGGTGGAGGCGGCTTCAGCTCTCATCATTTATATGGGCTCCTCTCATCAGTGCACAAGCAAATCTGGATCAGATAGGACCCTCCCCCCGGACGGCAGCAGCGTCACCTGCTGCACAGGTGACTCGCCTTGTAAGGCAAAAGAACAGCCGGTGTGTGGACGCAAATTAGCCTGACAAATATATCATCGCCTTATAAAGTTATGGCTGACATGTTAGCAAAGAGGTGCCTGTTTAAAGCAGCAGATATGGTGAAACAGCATAAACAAACAATTTAATTTTAATCCAAGTTAACTGTCCTGTTTCAAGGACTATAATATTAAAATTGCAAATGTATCTTTTTTTTTAAATGTATTTTTTTTTTTTTACAAGGTCCATTTAATGGTTGTTCTGGGGCTCTTGGTTACATCACAGGAGCTTCCTCAGCAGATAAACATCAGCCAGTTGCTATTAAAGTGTATATGTTTAAACTGCCATTTTTTCTGAGCACTTTAAATACACTCTGTGTCTATGTTAGTTTAAAGGACCCATATTGTATAAAGGTAGATGTCCATGTGTTGTTTGATTATGAGGCTGGTCTAGGTCCTATATTAATACTGTGAAAGTATCAAAGCTCTCAGTCCACAGAGAAATGCACACAGCCTGTATTCAGAAACTGAGCCTTAAAACGAGCCGTCAGGACTTCTGGAACTTTGTGATGTCACAACAAAGCAGTCACTGCCCATACCATGCCCACTCAGACCCACCATCCAAACCTTTTACAGGATTTGGTTTCTCTGAGTGTTTTTACGTGAAATCTGCTATATTTTTATTGGATCACTCAGAAAACAGTCAGCCAATCAGAAGAGAGGCCTTCCTTCTTCTGATTGGCTGACTGACCTGTTGTTACTAGAGCTCCAGAGAGGAGCCTGTGAGAGGAGATGTAAAACTACATTGATATGGTTTTTGGTTCTTAAAACCACAAATGTATTCCTGATGAACACATGAGATAAAACACAGGAGAAGTGTAAAATATGGAGCTTTGCTGAGACTTAAAGTTAATTCTTGACCATGCAGTGAAATTGCTTTGTCAGTTAAATGAACTGTCAAGCTCAACATTTTATAATATTTGTATAGGCAAAATATGCTATACAGACACTTTCCAAACAATTTAGAAAACAAACTCTGCCACTTCTTTCTTGCGATTTGGTCAGTTTGGACAGTTTTATATTCAGTACCTTTGCAAGAACCTTGTGTGCTAAACTCCAAATGAAGTTCTCTCAAATTTCTACATTACTTTGCCTCCAGAGCTGTTAACTATATTGACAAATCAAACAACAAATAAGCTGAAACAATTCTTTCCTCTTTCCTGCCACAGTTTTCTTCCTTTTGTGCTGCCTGTAGGCCTCTCTCTCTTATGCTAGTTAGGTATTTTCACATCACAACATTTGCAATTAACCGAGTTATTATGCTTGAAGGACGGTGCAACTTGAGAGGCAATACAAATGAAGCGCACGCCGGTCAAATGAAATCCTCCGTTCGCTGAATGCAAATGATCGGGGTTGATTTACATCAGTATCTCCAGGTGGCACAATATGAAGGCTCTATGGATATTTGCATGCTTCTAGTTAATGATTAAACTTGAGGCACAAAACCAAAGTACATTTTAATAGCAAACACTGCTGCAAATATAAAAAAGGTAGTTATGAGATCATTTGCTGTGGCTCAAATTGCATTAAGGCTACACAAGCAAATATGTACAGTATGTACACTGTACAATGTTATATATACAGTGTCTGAAAATCTTAGTGATACAGTGAAGTAATTTCCCTGGTGTCAGTGCAAATTGAGTTTTAAAAAAATGTCTGATCTGACAACATTTCAGATTTTTGTTAATAATTTTTAGTCAAATGTTGAATTCAGAAACATTTACTAAGAGACAGATTTTCTATTCTTGCTTTGAGGAAAAGTGAGACAGCTGCACATGAAAGCCAGAGAAAGAGCTCTTCATCTTGTGGATGGGTGCGAGTCACCCAACGTAATCGCACGTTAACAGTCGGGACTAAAACGGTTAGACTTTTAAATATCATAAAACTAGAGCAGGAAGTACAGAATGTATACACACAGTCTGCATCAAAAATAGACACGTGTCTTTTAACAATAAACTACAGAATCAGATATTGTATAGCACATTTCATATATGCAGTGGTGAGGATTTGTGCGGCCTGTTTAACCATCATCCACTCTCCCCCAACCTTCCCTCTATCCCTCCCTCCCTCTCCCCCTTTCTCTCTGTAGAGCAGTAATGACAACATCCAGCAGAGAATGTTTAGTTCAACGGTGTCATCTGCAGGACATTTGCAAACTCTGCAGATGTCCACACATGCAAACTTTGCAGACAGATGAGTCAAGATGATTTGTATTTTAATACTGTTAGAAAACACTGATGCAGTACTGAATGCAGAGAGAAAGAAGTTGATAAAAACATGGAGGTGTCACCCGGAGAGTTGCCCCCTTCTGAGGGAGTCTGTCACTGTCCTAAAAGAGATTCTTTTTACCGGACATGCCATGAGTGTCGGGCCTTGGGGACAGTCTGATAGTTAGTTACCCTAATGTAAATGAACTACCCAGGCCTGTTAACCTCAATGCTTTGGGCTCCTAGTGTCCATTTTAGTACCAACCTCTAGCCATCAAGTGGAGGGGGCTTACCTTTGGATTGGTGGAGATGGTGGAGAGACCTTAAAGTTCATACTCTTCTCCTTTTGAAAATAACTTTGAAATAAAAAGAATGAATTAAAAAAACAGAGTAACCTAAAGGTTCAAACATTATAATTTATTGCTTGTTTACACAACCTGCTCCTTATTTTACATTACTGGAGATATTTGAGGCATTACATTTAGAGATTTAAAGAAGCCTGATTTGATATAACAAGCACGTGTATAAATTATTAAATGATGATTAAACACTGGTATTCCTAAACTTTTTTAAAAGATTATTTTTCTGCTAGTGAGTGAGCACATATTTGGCTCTAATTCTGCATCATCACTTTGGTTGAATGTCTGCAGACACGCCTGGTGAAAGTGTTGAAAGCAAATGTTTTTGTTCATCTACAGAGCAAGATATTTTTCTCAGTAGACCAGGGCTAAAAGGAGAGTGATTATTGAACTTAACGTTCATCAAGTGGACATGCAAACATATTAGTGATAACTTCATTTTGTGATATGTCAGGGCTATGTGTCTGTTCTACTGCCCCCTAGTGGCCAAACATTTATTAAGTTTCAAATAACATTTCTAAGATGCCCATGTGATGGGATTCGTCCTCTTATTTCTACATGTCATGAGCAGTTGATTAAAAATATCTGTTGAAAGCAGTGATTAAGACAAACAGCACAACCAGTCCAAGTTAAGACAGACATTTGGCAGCAATCAAATCAGTGATTGCCTCACCATGCATGTAATAGTTTAATACAGGAGCAGACCACTTGAAACACTAGAAGGCCTACAGAGAGCCGCTTCAAGATTAAGAGTTAATTAGCACACACTCAAAGAGCTGATACAAAGTCCCCGGGTGTTACAAATCCCCAATTTCTTTCTTTGCACTAAAACTTGTGTGCTTTACTTTTCTATCACTAAGCACTGCCTGTACTCAAGAGCCACCATGGATCGGTGAATCAAATGATCTACTAAGATTCACTTGAGATTTTGACTATAATGTTCCCAGGCAGGTTAGCAGTTGGGGCCAATCTCTCTCTGTATATTCCTATGGAGTATTGGTATTATGTTGCCTGCATGGCCTTTGACTCGGCTCTGAGACATCAGAGTGGAACATCCATGATCTCATACCTCTGTGGGCCAAGAGTGTAACAGAGCACAGTCCCCTCACATTGTGGCGCCTGTCACCACATCGTCCTGGCACCTAGCTTGTTATCCAGAGTGCGACATGGGAGATCTCATTTGAGCTGTTGAGTTTGTGGCCTTTCAGCGCCTGTCAGCGGGGCACCTGCCCCGAGACGCTCAGAGGGAAAGCGGAGCAGTAGGCATCAGCTCAGCCCTCGGGGATAACATGACAGAATGCCAAGGGCAGGTAGGGATCATGTTATTGTCTGTCATCTTAATGAGATGGTGGCTTTTGCTCCCAACTTGGCATAACCCAAACACAAAAGGTTGCTTGAGTTCAGGTCTTTACTGAGACAATACTAGAGAAATGTAAGCTATTGTACAATCTTTATTTTTTAACCCTTTTGGTTAAAATGCCATCACAGGTATTTGTCTCTGATTTGACAACTCATCATTATTCCTTTTTATCAGCTTGATCTCTGCTTCTTGGTTTTCGTTATTTTTTGCTACGTCTGGCCCCACATCCTCATTGGGGAGCCCAATCACAGAAATGCTGCCCACAGATGAAGTCCTGCTCTTGACACTGTGATCCCTTTTTCGGGTCATGGTCGGTTTGCCCAGAACACTCCTGAGCTGTTCCCAGAAAAACGCCTGCTGGTTGACCTGCTGGGGCCACTCCAGGTATGTCTTAGTACTCAGCATCTTCTTCAGCTTGCAGTACTTGCTGGGCAGGGAGCTGGGATCAATGGGCTCCTTCACCACTAGGATGACATCACTGAAGGTCTTTCCCATTGCTCTCTGCTGAGCGAAGTACAGCTCGTAGTTGCACCACTCACTGTTAACAAAGTGCCGGGAGAGGACAAATATCACCTGAGGATGGAAAAAGAAAATCAGATAAGAAAGAAAGGAAATGAAAACATGGATTAAAATTGCACTGCATTTCCTTTACAGAGGATATAATGTGGCTATGAATTGTGCTAGTAAGCGTCATGCTCTATCCAAAAGCAAGCCTAGGATGTTAGGGAAATGGTATGGTGCTGGTGCAGATGGAAATCTTCTGCACTACAACCTTTTCTATAAACACTAGAAATTCTCAAAACAATCTAAAGCCGCTGATGGTCAAACCTCAAAACTACAGGTGAAGGTCAGCATCAAATTCACAGCCCAATGGCGCCCTACAGCCAGTTCTTGGTTTATCACAATCATAACATCTGCCCCTTGAGTGTATATCATTGTTGCTTCTTGAGCCCTTTGAGAATCAATATCACAGAATCATCAAGTTTCCAGGAAGCTTATTCACACGACTTGATCAATAACCTAAGATAGCAGTGGAAACTTCCCTTAGGGGAAGTGCCACAGGGGAAGTCAATGTGGGCTTACTGAAACTAAACCACAAGCTAAACCCAATCATGGCCCAATCATTAAACATTCGTGACAGAGAATGTGATGTTGCCATCACCAACCCGGCTCAGCAGAAACATCAATTTATCGAAAACATAGTTCCTCAAAAGCTGTCTGCCCAAACTAACTGACAGGTTTCACAATGAGTATTCGAATTTGAATTTCAGTTTACTGAGATAACTTGCAATATACAGTCAAGCCCGAAATTATTCATACCCCTGGCAAATTTTGACTTAAAGTTACTTTTATTCAACCAGCAAGGTTTTTTTTTGACTGGAAATGACACAGGCTTCTCCCAGAAGATAATAAGACGATGTACGAGAGGAATCATTGTGGAAAAAAATATTTCTCAGCTTTTATTTACATTTGAACAAAAAGTGGCATGTCCAAAATTATTCATACCCTTTGCAAACTGTCACAGTCTATGGGAAAATCCAAAGTTCTATACCCTTCCAAATAGTCCAAGCTGTTCTAAAGCATCTTAATTACCCTGATTCATTGGGAACACCTGTTTTAATCAACTTAACAGGTGAAAAACAGCAGCTCTCTGCAGTTGGTTTGTGGACAGTCATGGCCCGCTTGGCCTTTGCAAATGATCATCTGGACAAAGAAGAAGACTTCTGGTCTTCTGTTTTATGGTCAGATGAAACAAAAATTTAATTGTTTGGCCACAATGATGTATCCTTCATTTGGCTTAGAAAAGGAGAAGCCTTCAACCCTAAGAACACCATCCCCACTGTTAAACATGGTGGTGGGAACCTAATGCTTTGGAGGTGTTTTTCAGCCAATGCACCAGGGAACCTAATCACAGTAAACGGTACCATGAAAAAAGAGCAATACATCAAGATTCTCAACAACAACATCAGGCAGTCTGCAGAGAAACTTGGCCTTGGGCACCAGTGGACATTTCAGTTTGACAACGACCGAAAACACACAGCAAAAGTGGTGAAGAAATGGTTAGCGGACAAAAACATTAACGTTTTGCAGTGGCCCAGCCAGAGTCCTGACTTGAATCCAATTGAGAATCTGTGGAGGGAGATATAGATTAGGGTGATGGCAAGGAGACCCTCCAACCTGAAAGAGTTGGAGCTCATCGCTAAAGATGAATGGGCAAAAATACCAGTGGAGACATGCAAAAAGCTGGTCAGCAATTATAGGAAGCATTTGATCGCTGTAATAGCCAATAAAGGCTTTTCTATTGATTATTGAGAAGGGTATGAATAATTTTGGACATGCCACTTTTTGTTCAAATGTAAATAAAAGCTGAGAAATATCTTTTTTCCACAATGATGCCTCTTGTACATCGTCTTATTATCTTTTGGGAGAAGCCTGTGTCATTTTCGGTCAAAGAAAAACTTGCTGGTTGAATAAAAGTAACTTTAAGTCAAAATTTGCCAGGGGTATGAATAATTTCGGGCTTGACTGTATATTGCAATATATAAAATTCTTCATTATACTCTATGAATAATACTTTATTCTGTCATGTGGAAGACTATTACAAAAGCACATTCTGGTACCTTTCGACTGCTTTCAATATTCTCAATGATGTTATCGATGATCCACCTTCCTGGCATGAAGTCCCTCTCATGAATACACAGACGATAAGGATTTCTGTTCTTCTCCAAACAGGGTAAAAGTTGGTCCCTCACCCAGTCTGCATCAGGGTGGCTGTAGGATATGAAGGCATGATAGGTAAAAGTCCCTAATTCCCCTGCTGCTTTTTCCTTGTGGGCTCTGTATTTGGCCCTGATGATCTGATATGTGGCCTTCGTGTACCATGGGAGGTCAAAAATATAGCAGATCAGCATCAGTATCAAGATCACCGCTGCAGTGGTCGCAACACAGATGATGATAACTAGTCTGATGTCACAGGCCACCTGACCTGGGAAGTATTTGGAAATGGCTGTGTTGAGGAAGGGCTCTGGGTGGTAGCACTTGTAGTTCCAAGGCCAGTCTGTGAGGTTGACCTTTTTCTGTGAAATCGTGTCCTCGACAAAAGCATGAAGCTCACAAGTGCAATGGTAAGGATTATTCCCTGCCCTCAGGTTAGATAGCTGAGGCATGTCCTGGAAGGATGCCTTGCTAATGAGGCCAAACGAATTCCCATCCAAAGCCAGTGACTGCAGTGACAGACTTTCCCACTTAGATGGGATGAACTTGATTTTATTCCCGCTCAGGAGGAGCTCTTTCAGGTTAGTTGCTTGCTCAAAGTAGGTCATGTCCAGCTGGTCCAGGTCACAGTAGGACAGGTCCAGGTAGTGCAATGTGGTGGGCAGACAGCGGAGGGCTACACTTACAAAGTGATTGTGGTGAGCAATAAGTTTAGTGATATTTTGCTGCCAAACACAGTCCCGACTGTTTTCAGCAGATCCAAGCTTGTTGTTACTGACATCCAACACCTGCAGCCGCTCAAACTCCCCTATTAGTAACGACAGGTCTTTTAAGCTCGCCAGGTCATTGTTGCTTGTGTTGAAGGTGTGAAGATTTGGCATGGTGCCTCTGTAATCACACCGCTGGTTGAAGATGTACTCATTGCGTAGTCGATTATTGGAGACGTCCAAAAACTCCACACCTTCCATCTCGAGCCAGGAATCGCAAGGGGCAGAGTTGAAATACACATACTGAATAGACAGTTCCTTGATTTTGTTGAACCAGCTGAAACGCCAGTCAAATCGCAGTATGTCAGGATTGCTGATGTACCTACAAGATATAAAGACTTTTAACACTCTGTATGTTCAAACAAAGAGTAAATACTCAGTTCAGTACAATTTGCATAATGTTATTTTACAATCAATATTGTCATATTGCCGGTTTTGGCGTAATTTTAGTTGAATTCTTGTGATCAGTGTTTCCACTTAATATGTACTTAAATTCATAACATAGAAGCTTATACTCTACTAACAACTCTAGAACTGATATCAAAGCTGAACGTAAACTACATTGTGAGATATCATGGGGTAGTGTCAACCTATCATCAAATCTAGAAACATTTCACCATGAGATTATGACAAATGAGTGAAAAAGATTTTACAGCAAATTAATTATATGTCACACTGACACATGATACTCACCAAAGATCCAACCGATCTAGTGCCAGGTCTGTGATGCTGGAACCCGCTCCGCTGTCAATAAATGTGGGGGAACGGGCAAAGTCAATATACTGAAGTCTCAACCTTTTGATGGGGGCGACTTGTAAGTTCATCAAAGCCATCCTCATGAGATTCTCATTGAATTTCCCTCTGTGAAAGATGAGCTGATAGGCTGTAACGTCTTTTAAACCTTGGAAAATGTCCTCCTCCCCATTGTAGTACATGAACTCAAAGAGATTGCGGAACTGGATGACGCTGAATGTCTTGTTGGCGAGGTCATGTATCATGTGAAGGAGAGCATTAGGCCGTTGATCTATGGCCATGTCAAAGCCCATCTGCTTGGTCTGGATGACTTCTAAACTCCCAGGCTCATAGTAGTTCAGATAGGAGGAACATTTAATTGCAAACCCGTATAACCTTATGTTCTTCAGGGGCTGAAAATCTGCTTTCTTTAGACCCATCACCAGAGGGCCACCCATAGACAGAACCTGCAGTTTGACAAATTTGGAGAAGCTATCAGCCAAAGTAGCATGTTTGTAAAGGTTATTGGACATGAAGAGCTGTTTTAGATTCAGGAGAGGTGTCAGAGCCCTGGCAGGAATCTCCTGCAGGGAGTTATTGAAGATGTCAAGATGCTCCAGCAGTGGGTTGTTTTTAAATGCGTCATTGTCAATGTGCGAAATGTTGTTATACGTCAGCTGAAGTTTGCGAAGCTGAGGGAGGTGGATGAAGTCATCAGCATGGACAGCTTGAAGTTTATTGTAGGAGAGATCTACATCTTGAAGTGTGGATGGAAACTGCCTCCAGGGGACACTGTTGAGCTGTCTTCCCAGACAGTCTGCAGAGCGACCAGAGTTGTAGATGCGACACCGTCCTTCCTCAGTGTCAGGGTTAGGGTTAGTGGTGTCTGAAGATGGAGTTGGGGATGTGAGCACTCCAAGAAGGAGGGCACTGAAATTAATCAATGTCCAAATCATTGTGACAGACCTGTGAAGGAAAGAGAACAGGAAATATAAACTTTAAGCATTTCCTTTGTATTCAAGTGAAAAAGTGGCAGGACATTGACCTAAATTGTTGTTTGGCACAGTGATTATTTCACATTTTTCACGTTCTTCCACGTACTATATTTTTCATTTTAAGAAACTCTACTTTTCCTCCAGTATATTTCATAAAGAAATACTGTACTTGGTACAATAGTAGCCTATACTTAAACTAAATACTATACTATACTAAAATTCTTATCCCAAAAAGTAGACTAAGGCTTGATTAAACAAAAAATAACAGCAGCATTATTACTGCTTTCCCCAAAAATAAAGATATACGTGTTTTCTGACAGTAAAGTTAGATGAATGCTTTCACTTTGGATGCTTGTTCACTTTAAGTCAAAAATTTAAATGCAGTAATTTTACATGTGATGTAGTATGTTTTGTAGTGTGTTACTGTAGCAATTACAGATTTACATATATAAGTAAACAAAAAATAAAAAAAGATCTCTCTATGATACACACAGACACAAGCACACAAACACACAAGTCACTTTCTTTCATCTCTGTGAGCACCCCTCAGCATATTGCTGTTAAGAGATGGTGCAATATCTTGATCTGTGCTGTCATTGCATCAAATGAAAGTTACGGTCTGCAGAACGAGTGGGAGGATGTGCAGCTCTTTAAATTGCTTCATCTGTGTGGAGCAAAAATATGACACGCAACAGAAACACCTGAAATGAAGTGGCATCTAATTCTTGTAAGATGCGTGATTTTTCTTTATTATAAAAAGAAAGAAATTCAGTCAGATAAAGACAAAAGAGGCCAAAAAGTTAAAAATGTCACACAGAGAGAACAGACAGATCTATATGAGGAAAGAAGGAAATCTTAAACTTGACCTCTTGATCAATTTTCCATAATTTCCCATTACCTCATAAATGTGTCCTTGTAGAATATACTGACCTTGCAAGAGACACAGGAGACATCAGGCTGCACACATCACTCTGCAGTCATTATGTGAACTCAGGCAGCAAATATGCAGTGAAAAAGACATCAGACTCATCCATATAAAACAGACATTTTCATTAGTCCCCCCACTGTACAACAGCATCATACACTGCACACTTCACTACACTTACCCACTTAAGACTAGTTTCCTGCTTAAGGCTGCTACCGTAGACTCTTTCAAATCCCCTCTCCTCTGCCTTTATTTATATTGTTGGTCCAAGGCCACACACTCACAAGACACTCACACGGAGGAGCAGTCACGCTTTATAACCCCCATTAAACAAACAGTGTTAGTTTTATCTAGTCCAGAAGTGACGTGACTTGAATAAACATTACTGTCTGTGCGGATGTGAGCACTAGAAATGCATTGTTTCCCTATTTATTTTAGGTTATTATAGGTCATTATACGGGATTAGTGTACGGCCTGTTAATCTGTGACCGCTTGGACAGTCACCAGAAAGTGTGTCATCCCTGCAAAGTGGACAATAATACAAGTTTGATTCAGAATGGCAACATAATTAAAATGACTTTACAGCGTCTGCAAAAACACTGACATTGATTGGGGGATTGAATATTGTTTTTTAGCTCTGCCAGTCACGTTGAGATTGACTGTGATGTTTAATGCCAAATCTCCTCCTCCTCCTCCTCCTCCTCCTCTTTCTCCAGGAACAGATGTTCATTTGATAAAATCGCTCCTCCAGCCTCTCAGGTCAACAGTCATCTGAATGAATCATTGTTTACCTTTTTTTTTTTACTAGATATCTAGATAACTACTAGGTAGTAAATGAAATACTATATTCTTTTGATGAATTAATTTCATCGAGCATTTACTGTGTCACCCCCCCCCCCCCCCCCCCCCCCCCGGCACACACACACACACACACACACATCTTCCTTCCCAGTCATATACGTGTAACATTGTTTGTGCCGTGATGCTGCTTCACTGAGCAAACCAGAAACCCTCACTGGCTATCATCTAATCTGGTCAGTGGGCAGTTGTTCCTGGAAATTGACACTAGATTAGATGAACATCAATAATATTGACTCAGTGAAACTCCTCATATGCTGCTGCTGTAAAATGATGATGTTTTATAACCTGACGATAACAAAGCTCTGGGAATCAATCAAATTTTGTCTCAGACCTTATTTTAAAATTGCCGTCACGTTTGAGGCATCCAGCTTGAAAACTTTAGACACTGAAGAGAATTGGGGGTTAATGGAAGTTTTAAGTCCAAGCCTAGTTTCAATTCTTGAAAAAAGTCTCAAGCCCACAAGAGGAAATCAAAGTCTTTCAGACTGTCTCTGAATGCTGGCCTTGCCCATACTTGACATAATGACCCTGTGTCTGAACATTTCGTTCAAAACATTTGTCAACAGAGTCCTGAGACTGGTTTCAATGCACAGGCCTAATTAAATATTATTAAAATTCATGCTGTGTGGCTGTGCAAATCCTGACTGCTGCTATCTTATTTATTTTATTTATTGTTCTGGGATTTTACGGAGGTCAGAACTTGAGCATCTTTGCTGTGAAATCGCAAGTCAAGTGTTACGTCAGTAAATTCTCAAATACAGGCACACATACACTGTGCTATAACAGCAATCCTGCAGGTTCACTGCATGTCAGACTGTGTGATATGGGTCTAATGAAATAGATGCAATCTGTGTGAGACTCTATCAGTTTTTTTCCTGAGAGAATCAACAGCATCAGTCGTACCTGTCCTTCCACAGTGAAGGAATAAATGGTGTGATGTTGTTATAGAGCCACCATGTCCACAGAGGGAGAAGGTAGAGACCATCGTTTGCTTAGATCAAACAAGGGTTTGTTTACCTAACCTTAACCATGTTGTTATTTTAACCTGACCAAACCTTTATGGTGTTATTTTTGTAATGGTTATGATGGAAGGTAATTACAAACTACAGCATGAATTTTGTCGTCTGAGGACTTCTGTGTTTTGAGGCCTGTCAGATTGTGCGATGGAAGCCTGGTGACTGGTTGGTGAATGGCACCACTATGATGTAAAACAAATTCTAATTATAGACACATCAACAACTCACATCCTTCATCTCTACTGCTCTCATGTTTTGAAAATGGAGCAGAAGAAAGCTTTGGCAGCGCATATATATATATATATATATATATAGACTGTATATGGCATTATACTGTTATGAGGTCAGACGTGGGCTTTTTGAGATTTTCAGGTAGGCCATGATTTGGAAAAGGTTGGGAACTACTGCTGTAGATCAAACATTGGTGGACGTGTTGCAAAAGAAGCTTTGTTTGTTCACATGAAAATACCACCAGGAACCTTTAAGGGCAGCTTTAAATTTGACTTGAGCTTTAAAGTCTCTACATTTCTGACTGACTGACGTTCTGGCTTTAGTCAGGATCCCACCAGTGAGCTTTGTCACAAGCACAACAAAGCAGTAAATAAATAAAAGGTGTCGCAGGCATTGTCCTCACTTTCATGAGCCAAATAAGGTCAGCCAAATGTCTAAAGTTTTGAGTTCACAACTTCCGTCTGGGTTGTTATTAACTTGCCCTGCAGGAGTTTCTCTGTCATTACCAGTTGTAGAGAATTCAGGGGTTGAGTCATTTATGTGCTGTTTACACACAGGAAAACGTCCCTGCCCCGTGCTGAGCAGCCTTATCTGTGAAAGGAATGTAACACAGATATGCTGACAATGTGGAGTATTATTTTCTGATTTCAGAGGTGCAGTGTTACAATGGCTTTATTGTCAACACGCACTTGGGTTTTTACAGGTTTTAACAGGCCATACAATCTGAAACACCTACACATGCAGGTCATTGTGTATGCATACAAAACATATGGCCAATTTCCCTGTCAATATTTTTCACGTGCAGGTTGGCTCAGTGCCTGGTTCATACAGTATGAGCTGGAAGGACAATTGGGAAACCCCCCCAAGAGCATGCGAAGATGAAAAATGTATTTTTAGCCAACAGATAGCTTTACCAAAAGCTGTCATGTTCAAAATCTATAGATATAGAACACTGTCCATCTTCAGAACCAGCTGAGCAGGTGCTGCGACAAAAAAGGATGTAAATTGACACTAAGTCTGGTCAGTCATGGGGTTAGAAAGAGTAACCAACATACAGTGTGTTTCAGTGTGACAGCAAACCACAAAAAGTGACATTCTCTTGCTCCGGTGGCAGGAAGCTCTGAAGTCTCCTCCAGAGATAATCTTTTCTCCTCACTAATCAAAAGGTTTTTGTGAAAGAACAGTCTTAAATCTCTCAACCAAAATCATAACCAAGCAAAACAGAGTTGAGTATTTGGTCTTTGTAAACAGTTTGTGTTGGGAGTGAAGTAAACGTAACGCATGAATGCTGTTAGAAATTGGACTTCTACCGCTTGCATGATTGGGACATCGGAAAAATCAAGTTTAGTTGCAGTATACACAGCAGCACTGTCAAACAAGAGAAGCTGAGACAACAAAAACAAACTCCCCAGGAGAAGCTGGAAAGCGATGTCGGGGAGAGGGACGTCTGGAATGCCCCTGGGGGTAACTCCACAATGAGAATGCAAAACCTGTTTGAAAGTCATAATACTAGTCTCCACAGGACTGGGGCTGGTAGCAACTACAACACACAGGAATCTGAAGATACTTAGAAACATCTCCAAAGACCTATGCTGAGAAATGTGTTATGGGTAACCATAGGTTGCAGAGGAATCGATATGCACACCACCCAAATCTCAACAACTCAAATGGCTGATTCAACTCCCATCAGGAGGCAGTTTCCAATGGGCCTACTAGATATAAGTAAAAAAAGAAAGCACCACATAAAGATATCCAAGCAACTGCTGTGTATGTTTCCCTATGTGCAGCCTGCAGCTTTCTAATAATGCTTCAAATACATTAAGCTTTAAGTGCTCCTGAAGATAACAAAGTAAAGGTGATGGTGATGAAGTGCAGGTGAAGCTGAAAAAGGACAAATGTGATGACTGTTGAGTTAAGTGTGATTAAAAGAG